CAAGGCCGGGGGGCGGGCCCGTCCCGCCGCAGGGGCAGCGTCCACCGGCGCCAGGCTCTGCATCCCCAAGCACCAGCCCCGCTCTGCTCCACACTCACCAGCGTGTGCAGGGTCTCCTGGTGCCGGGGCCGGTGTTTCTGTACCCCCCTTACTGAGCCCACAGTCGCATTTCCGTGAGGTGGCGATTTCACCGCATCGCCCACCTCTCCTTGCAACCAAGCTCCCCCTGAAGTGACAGGAGGGGAAAAAGCTCCCGTTTCCAGACATTTAGCTTCCATGTACTTCCAGGCCAGATTTCTTTTCTAGAGTAAGAGCTGTGCTAGCCTTCATACTGCTAATCGTTATAACTGTCAGCCTTTAAAATGTGTAAGAATTTTCATAGAAATAAAAAAATCCATGCCAGCTACTGTAACGGAAAGCCTCACGCTTGTTTTTGCTGCCTGGAGAAGGCCGAGCCCCATGGTGCTGCTTCTCACTTGCCCTTCACATTTCCCCTTTCTCAAAGCTTCCCAACAGAAACACAGCCCCCTCTCATCCGCCACACTTCTCTAAATTAATGATCTAAAATAACACTAAACCAAAATGTGAAGGTACCTTAACTGCTTAGCACCCGATGTTACACCAAACGCATTTCTTTTAGCGCTGTTAACTTTATCAAAAGCCTCCCCGTAGCAGGAGCGCAGGAGGGAAGCGGAGCGACAGCCGGCCAGCGTCCCCGCCAGCCCCAGGCAGGAACGGCAGAGCACAGAGCGGGCTGGCAGCGGAACGGTAAGCGTGCTTGCCAGGCCACGGAAACGTCCAGAATGCCACGTCTGAGATACGACGTGCCGACCCGTGCAGCAGCTCCGAGCGGCTTTTCAAGGGCACGCATGCAGGGTCAGAGGGGTGCGGGAAGCAACCGAGGCGCCGGCAGTTGTACGATGCTTTAAGAAGGCAGGGACAGTGACAGTGACAGCACGTTCTTCCCACGGGTGGCCCCGAGGCGCGGGGTTTCTCCGGCCCCGGGACACAGCCCGAAGGATCGCACACTCCTC